AACAACTTCCTGAGAAACGTGCATGGCAGGTAAATTTTGTTGAGAGCAGACAAGTCTGAAATTGTCCTTGTTTGAATGACAGTTTAGAATTCTACTATAGAATTCTAAGCTAAAAATCACTTCTCTTCAGAATTTTGAAGACATCATTCCACTGTCTTCTAACTCCTTGTGTTTCTGTTGAGAAGTCTGACGTAAGTCTGATTCCCATTCCTTTGAGTGTATCTTGTTGTTTTTCTTTTTTACTCTGAAAGCTATCTGGATATTCTCTTTATCTTTGATTTTCTAAAATTCACAAAATATGCCTTGATATTGGTTTTTGGCTTATTTAGTTTTTTTTTTTTTTTTTGATTATTTGGTCCTGTCAAATTGTAAACAAGCATCCTCTAGCTCTAGGAAATTTTCTTCTATTATTTTTTTGTTTCTTCCCTTCTTTTTTCTAAGTTAGATATTGGATCTTCTGGCCTGATGCTCTAATTTTCTTATCTTCTATCACCAATTGTTTACTACTATGTCTTTTTTTTTGCATTCTATTCTTCATTATGGGGATATTTCAACTTTATCTTTCAATTCTATTAATTTTTCTATTTATACTGTCAATTTGTAATTCCCAAGAGCTCCTTTCCTTTTCCATGATTACTCCTTTTTAAAAAATAGCATTCCTTTTTGTTTCAAGAATGCAACAGCTCTTCTTATTTCTCTGTAGGCATTAATTTTAATTCCTTGAGTTTAAATTATTTATTGCACTGTCCCTGATTCTTTTTCTTTTCTGTGTTTTAGCTTCAGACTCATAGATCTCAGGTTTACAGATGGAGAAGTTCCTCAAAAGAATCATCTCTGGCTCACTGGTTATATTTAAAAGTGAGTCTTTGAAAAATTGACTGGCAGCTGAGTGTGTTAACTTGGGCTTCACTATAAGGAGATTGTTTGGCTCATCTACCTTTTCAAAGAGAAATACCAAATATATCAGTATCTATAGGCTGTGCTCTGGAATAATCTATTTTTTCAGAGAAGTATCCTCTAAACAAGTTACACAGAAACCTAAGCCTCGCTATTGGAGCAGGAAAGGAGCTGGGGAAGATCTCACCATTCCAGACAGACTCTCACTTTAATCCCCTTATTTTCAGTCTAGCCACCTCACTTCTACTCTGTATTTGTGCTTATCATCTTCAAGTTCAGAAATTCTCTACTTCGATTTTTCCAGAAAACATTTATCCCATATCATTTGTTCTTTATACAAACTGCTTCTGGTTTTCATGTTTTATCCTACATCCCACTGCCAAACTAATCCCTCTACATTCTTACTATCTTTCTACGCAGTGTCATACGACCTAGCACTCATTAATTTCCTAATGACTTCATGTGTCTATTTTTCCTCACCAGATTATGCTGGGACTCAGCCCACACCTTACACTTCCTTAGTGCTTCCCACAGTGGTGACAGTCAATAATAATATGTGATTGGTTTTGTATAAATAATATACTATTACTAATAGTTGTATCTTAAAACCACAGTCTGTCAATTATTATTTCATGAAGAAATCAAATTGATTTTCACACAATTTGATGAAAGGAAGGCTCAAATAATGATACTATTCATTCTACATTACAAGGAGTGGTGACAAAATGAGTTTCATAATGTCGCAATTTATCTGTGATAGGCTGAGAAAATAATTTGTATTTTAACATAGCCCGTCAAGTAATTCATTACAAGAATTAAAAAAAGAAACTATCTTTTCTTGATATTTTAAGATTGTACCTAGAAATGTGAAATTGTCATAAAAAGAAATCATGGTACAGTTGACTATATTATATACTTTTACAGTTAAATATACATATGTGATTCAAATAATTTAATCTAAAATCAGTATATATGAAGTTACATCTATCTTAATGATAATATTGCTTTTAACTAATTATACAATGATCTGCAAATATAAATGTGACTTAATGCACAATAATTTAAGAAATTTAAAAATTCTATCATAATGGTATACAATTTAATAGTGTATTAATGTTGAAACTTTTATTCCCTAAAAAGTTTGTAAAAAAAAGTTTGTAAAGTCAAAGCAGGAAATTATTAAACACTTTCTCATAATGAAATCATTTTATGAGACCAAAAACAATGAGAAGTATATTTGATAGCTAGTAAAACTAAAACTCTAAATTACATTTCGCACTTTTAATTTTTCAGACTAGAAGTAGTCTGAAAAATCAACTTCAAAAGACAATTTTTATACAGAACATATGTATAGGTAAGTCCTTGATTTATAAACTGTCCTGAATTTAAAAGTGGAGAGAATTATTTTTTAAATTTATAGGTTATTGGATCAACAACATGTGAACTAAGCTCTGATAATGAGGACAACCTATAAAACCTCATTAATTCAACAGGAAAAAGAAAACAAGCTTGGATTGCATCCTCTGAAATCCTTTATGTTGCTGTACTTGCCTTGCTAATTTCTTAACAATTAGACTTCTTGGAGAAATAAGAATCTCTTAAGAAGAAGACAACCAAGATAAATTCCATAAATCCTAAATTTGCCATGGTGGGAAGGGGTGGGGGGATGAGAATAAAGGATTTACATTAGCTGAGGAGAGGCCATAGTCAAAAACTGAGAGTTCAACTATGTTAGCTCCATGATACTGAGGAACTTTTTACACTCCTTTCCTAAGAGTTACAGAACATTATCTTTTGGTCAACTTCTATCATTTTAGGGCTAAAATATGGGGGAAATTACTAAAAGAAATTTAGGTACGTATTATCTTTGGAACCACAACACTGGGTGACTCACAAAAGAGGGACCCTCAGGGAGATGGTGGAAGTGGTTTACTTATTTTGCAACTAAGAACAGGTTAAAGGGATCCTTCTAAATATTTAGTTTGAACAACAAATTATTAATTTAATTAATGATAATAGGAATATCTTAGAAAATAGACATACACATATTTTTAGAAGACCTAGCTAACAGTCCTGTTTAGGAACTGAAGAAGTGAATGAATAATGTTAAAAAGACTTTCAAAGGCCCTAAAGATGTGGGAACTAACCCAAACCTGTGTGCACGGTAGAGGTCAAGTTATCTTGTTAAAATGTGTCACATCAAGAAAGTAAATATATCGATCACATCAAGGTAGTAAAAGATCTATTTTAAGAATATCTTATTGATCATAGAAATAAAACGCAAAATATGACAGAACATTATAAGTTCCATTGGAAATGTTAAAAGCAGATTCACTGGTACAACAGCCTAAGAAACCAGTACTGTCAGGTCGAAGTAATTTACAAAAGTAATTTTGTATATATTTTACCGTGAAAATTCCTTTTCTGAGTTGAATTTATTCAGTAGTGAGGGATATCCCTCTCCATACTCCCCCACACATACATACACACAAACTTGCTTATTAAAATGCAATGAAGTCTATTTAAAAAGAATTGTCTACTGGGATGCTCCACTGCATATTTTAAGATGCCTGACATGTTCCAACTTACCCTGTGTGGTGGTAAGGGTGGAGGCCGTGAGACACACCTCATACTATAGGTGGTAGGTATGCCTTCCAGTCAAATAATTTTGAGCCTGCTTTTAAGGTGAGTAATGGCATTGAGAAGCACAATTTGAGTTGTACTAAGTTTAAAACTTTCTAGAGTGTATTTTGTATTCAAGTTTTAAAGTCTGATTAAAACTTTTATGAAAACAAATTATGACTTTTTACACAATCCTTTCCTTTTAAATAGTATCCTAAGTAGAATTTAAGAAGTATTATGGTTCTAAAAATGTTAATTCAGTCTTGTAAACAGGCTCTTGAAAGTAATAATTTATGTCAGTTAAGGGGGTAACTACTAAACAGTTACCTTTATGAGTAAAGGTAGACTAGTTTAAACAAAAAATGAGGAAAAACTAGAGTCCACAAAATGATAGCTCATATTCAAGTAGTAGATTAAGATTAGGTTCCTAATTATGACAAATTCGATGTTGTAGATTTATGGAAATAGCAATGAGCCTAAACTTCAAAGAACAGCAGTTAGATTTACAAAGTAAATTACAATGTAAACAAGTAGGAATTTAAACTGATACAAGATATTCAATTCCATAAAACAGTTATAATTATTATTAGTAGTGATGTAACATCAATACATGATATAACATGTATGAGTAGCATATGACTAATGATTCTTTTTATCGAAGGCAAGTTTTTCTAGGCAAATACTATTTTTAAAGCCTATCAGCAAAGCTGAGGCATTTGTCCATTATTCTGTAATCAATGGACACTAATTATGATGATTACGTCCTGAATACTGACTCATTCGATATGTGGGTCTTCGTCTCGGCCCTAATATTGCTGGTACAATAGAACTTTCTGTGGTGTAAATGTTCTGTAGCAATACTGTCCATATGGTAACATGTGGCTACTGAGCACCTAAAATGTGGGTAGTTCAACTGAGGAACTCAATTTTTAATTTTACTTAATTCAATTAGTTTAAGTTTATATTTAAATAGCCACCAGTGACTAGTGGCTACCATATTAAACAGTGCACCTTAGAGAATTCAGAAAGTAAGAGCAAATGTCCTGTTACGTTAGGTCTAACTTTAATCTGCTTGTTGATTTCCATAAGCATGGCATTCACAAATGCTTACTAGAGTAGTATGCCAAAAAAATCTTTTGTCCTGTGGTTTTCTCTTCATTCAAAAGTTGATTAAATCTATGCCAGTAAATATCTAATACAGCATTCAGACAAATCCAAACAAAAAAAAAATCATCTGTAAAGAAAGATTTTTTTATTAGCATTTATTGTGTGTCAGTACAACTATACTGATTAATGAGGTAGCCTAGTGGCCTGTGTCACTCTGTCTAATATTAGTTCTAAAAGGGCTAGAATTCAAACTACAAAATATCCACTCCCAATAAGTTTCTGTCCATTACCTATCATAACACAAGAATACCAATTACTGCATAGTTTTCAGCTCCATTGGTTAAACACTGCAAATGTACATCAAATCATTTTACCTGACAGACATATTTGTTCTTCCATTTGCTCAGCACACACTGACTGTTTTGCATCAACTCCTGAAGGAAACAGAAAAGTGAGTGTAGTTGGCGATACTCATTGTCGTTATCAGTTAAAGTGCTTCTGATTTGCAAGCAAAAAAAAAAAAAAATCAGCATGCCACACAAAGATGCAACTGTTTTGGAACTCCTCACTGGACAAAGGCAAAGCTATCATCACCAGGAGAGTTGACCCTTTATGAAAATTAAAGCTGTTGAAAGATGTTTTAAAACAGATTTGTTTGTTGCCATTTTTAAACTTTTGGAAAGATACCTCCAACTCCTTGAGAGAGTCTCGAAGTTTTTCTGGGCGTCTGTTTTTGAGTGTCCATGGATAATTTCGTGCTGGCAACAACAACAAAAAAATGTAATAAATACAGTTAGTTAAACATGATTTAAAAAGGAAACTCTGCTTAGTAGTGTGCTTTATGAAGATTAAAATAAAACACCTCCTTAATTGCGAAGTATGCTTCATTTTCATCATCAAATGACAGCCTTTTGAAAGGCTTTGTCATAGGAACAGAATTTTTATCACAAAACAATCTCCCTGATCATAATTTTATGACAATAACCAACAAGGCTCAGAGAATTCCTGGGAAAGTTTCCTAGGCCTGTGAATCTAGCAGTTAATGGTAAATGATCCACTCTTTACCATAGAAATAACATTTTCATATAAATAATTAAATGTTCAATTCAAAAAAATTTTCCAAATTCTGAAAGTAGCCTTCTCAGACCTAAAACTTCCTAATGAGTAAATGAATATAGTGAGGAAAGAAGTAAAATACAAAAAATACAAAGGAAAATGAATTTTAATGATGCATCAAAACTTTACATATTAAAACTAAGAAAAAAACTGAGGGAATCCAAGTTTTAACAATTTAGGCACTAATAATGCTCTTTTTTTATTTAAAATAATTCTCTTTAAAATCTACACCACAATTCAATACTGATAAGCTTTTGTTGTGTTTGAAATACATTTAATAAAAAGATATAATTATTTAGTGGAGTCTCCGTGTTAACCGAAGTCAAATTAAAAATAGTTTTGTTAAAAGAATTAACAAAATATTAAATTGATAATGATATCTATTTCATCACAAAAATGAATTCATCTTTGAATTCTCCTAAATAATAATTCCCAATAAGAGTTGTACATGTGTGTGTATATGTTTTGTGTGTATACATATTGTATAGTTTATATAGACATTAAAATTTTACGGTAGAATTACTATATATTTATTTTATAGTAGAAATACTATATATTTAATTTCACTTTATAAACAATTTATGTATACAGCATTATGTGAAAATTTTAATATCTATGTTACAGCTACTAACAGTATTTTTAAAAATTAAATATCAGCTTGACCATTTCAAACAATAGGATTTTCAGCTTCACCTATACTCCAGACAAAACTTAAATTATATTTAAGTCATTAAAACCATATTACATTGTAGCAATATTACATATAAACATTTATATATTTTAGAACAGAAAAGACTAGAGACAATAAAATGCTAATATTGATCATTACAGATCTTATTTTCTTAAAAAGTGTAAAATAATTTGGGCATAGTACAAATAATGGTATCAGAATTTAAGCATGATGTACTTATTTTAAACATATTAAATAATATAAATATGGTTCCTTAAGAAAGTTTACATTTACATAAGTATATAAAAACTGGATAGAGATTTCAATGGACTAAATTAGAAATGCCTAACAAATATAATTCTTACTCATATGTTTATAAACCTAAACAATGGTAATTCATAATTATAATTTGGAAGGACTAACATTTCCTATTTGTGCAAAAGCTTAAAATATTTTTTAAAACTGAATCTTCAGTGATATTAAAATCTCAGTTTTATAATAATTCCAAATATATATGTGTGTGTGTATGTGTGTGTATATATGTATGTATGTATGTGTGTATATATATATGTATGTGTGTGTGTGTGTGTGTGTGCGTGTATATAAAGTGAGCTTACATTCTGCCAGCTTCTGCTTTTCTTCTAAGTTACCATGTTCTGTCGCTGATATTGTGGTACAGGAGAGTTGGAAAGAAAAAAAAGGGGGAATTATTCTTATTATAATACTTTGTATTTTTATATGTACATATACAATGTATTATCACACATATTATTGAGATTAGTAAAATTATGCTCAACTTTTTCAAAAGCAGTTTGATGTTTTGGATATTTTCATTTCATAGAGGTATTTTCTAAATTTGCAGTGAAAAGGCTTATGTAGCACAACAGGTGGGCCAATATCCTGAGCTTACAATCTCATCAGATAGGGAAGCGAACTGCGATAGAGCCCAGAACAGACGCTGTTTCAGTCTGTCATCAGAACCATGAAGTCAGCCTATTAACCACCAAGCTAAACACACAGGATGCCCACACAAGCCTCACTTCAACAGAGACTAAACCAGGAAGTAACTCTAGCTAGAAAGACCTTTTGGCCCATCATGAAACTTCTGGGATTAACAGGATTAATCAGATAAAGAAAATTGATCATTCACTCAGAAATGCCTATTTCAGATATCAGGTGAGGATCCAGGAGGCCAGCATCAATGGGACTCATGCATTAACAATGCCCTCTACTGGGACACTGATAAATAAACGTGAATAGACTGTCCAGTTTTCAGTCTGATCAGAAATAAAATAAAAATTTTCATGCTCTTCTACAGCATTTTCTCATATTTCTTTATTTTATATAGAATAGATATCAACCTCAGCACTTTTCTAAAAAATTGAGGTAACTTTTCTTAAAATCCTAGAATTTATCAAAGGTCATAAAAACAGTTTTTAATGGTCACTATTATGTAGTTTAGAATATTTAACTTATAAAAATTAGTTGAGTAGAATAGGTACTTTACCTGGTGGCTCTTTCTTGTCATAATACTGGTATATCCCGATATCTCTATCTATAGAAAGGAACAAATAACGTTAGATTATGGTAGAAAGTTCTGGAGAATAAGAAGCTAAACCATACTACATGCAGGGTGGGAGTATAAGGCAGGGAGGAGGGCAGAAATCTCTTTATGTTGCTAGAAATAAAGTAGTTCAAAAGTATCTGAACATGTAGGGATATGCAGGAACTAGAAAGTTTATCAATCCAATTAGAAAAGATTTACACAAAACTAGAATGGCATGGGGACAGGAGTAGTAAAGAACTGAAATCAAGGAAGACCACCTTTTTCTTTCACACTTCTGGATATTTTTCACAGGGCTCTACCAAAAGAAACTGCCACTAAGCAATGCCAAATGAAATCAGTCGATGGAAGAAAATGCCCTAACTGTTGGATTCTGAGCTGTGGCTTTCTTTTCTATTTAGCTTAAGTCTAGTATGGTGTTTGGTGGGGAATGTGCAGGAAAGAAAGAGAGGATTAGAGTAAGGTATGGATAAAATATCTGAAGCTCATTTAGACTCAATAAACCTTCCAAACCCATTCAAATCCGGATGCTCTGCTGGGGCTACAAAAGAAGCAAAGCTAGGCTTCCTAGATGTTGAAAGTGATTTAATCAAGGAATCTGTTCTTGCAATTTAATTTCGGGAGAACAAAATAACTGTGTCCATTTTCTTCCTATCTGTGAATAGTTAAATATTTCTTTCTTTGAAGTAACATTTCTTTCCTTCTGTGCAAAATAATTCTGGTTACTAACAAAAGGATACAACTGTTTCTAAAGAAGTGGGAGCAGTATAGGCTGCCCCCTAGTGATTGACGTGCTCCAAACTTTCTCATACTGATGAAACTTCAAAAAAACACATTACAGCTATAATTAACTTTTCAAAAAGTTTTCAAAATAGTCAAGCATGTGTACGTACTGACGCTCTATTCATTCATTCATGCTATTAATTTGGACATATAATGTTAAAGAATGCAGTCTATTTCTATTCGATTGAAAATATCTAATAAAGAGTGATTGGGAAAGGTCATGAGTAGGACTCTGAAGGTACTGATAATATTTTATTTCTTGACCTGGGTGATGATTTTATGGGTGTGTTCACTTTTTGACAGTTCAAAACATGCCCTTATAATTTTTATAATTTTCAATACATATGTTTCAATACACTTTATTTAAAAAAGATTTTTTTTTTTAAGTATAAGAACCATAGGCATTATATATTCTGGCAATATCCTCTATTTTAATATTTTATCATTCCATGCATCCAAATATTTATAACTCTAGATTAGCACATGAAGATCATAAGGGACCCTAAATTATGTGCACAAGTCTGATCTCCTTTATCTGTCCTGAAGTGGGGCTGATAAAATTCAAGCAGGGCAAGAAGGTATCCGCATAAGAGGACCTACCCCACATGGAGTGTCAGAGCCTAAGCCAAATGAGGAAGCTGTCTATGCAAACAGTTGGCCTGACATGGTGTCTTAGAATAAATAATATATTTAAAGTTTAATGAGGAAGAGGATATTTACATAATTTCAAGGTATTTCCCTACCAAATACTAAGTAATTCCAAAGGAGAAAGTAACTTTGCAGTGGAGAAGCCTAGGAGACACTATCTTAATCAAATAATCTCGAACATCAACAGTAAAGACACAAAATGAAATTGTGTACCACCCAATAGAGAACAGAGAAGCACTTCTAGGATATTCCCACCAGACATGCATAATATGAACTTAATTGTGAGGAGTCTTCAAAAGCGCTAAGGTTACAAAAGTTTAAACTAAATAAAAATTAAAAAGATAAAAGATTGGTTTCAGAATGAAAGAGACTAAAGAGATATGATGACTAAATGCAACATGTGATTCTAAACAAGATCCCTGGCTTAAAAAAGACACTGGTGGGACAACTGGTGAAACTCTGAGTATTAGATGGCAGTTCTACTATCATTGTTAATGTCTCGATTTTGATGGTTATATGGTGGTGATGCAGGGCACCTCCTTTCTATAGGAAACACACTAATGCATTTGAGAGTGGTGAGGCATCAAGTCTGCAACTTACTCTCAAATGGTTCAAGAAAAAAATCTCCTGTACAGAAAAGTCTTCTGTAAGTTTGCAATTGTTTCAAATTAGAATGACTATAATAAAAAAAAATAATAATAAAAAATAAAAACAAGAAATAAGCATTGGCAAGGATGTGCAGAAAGGGAACCTTTGTGGGAATGTAATTATTGGTGGGAATGTTAAAAAGTACATGAAAAAAAGTACGGAGTATGCACATGAATAGGGCCTGCCAATTGGTGGACTTCACTGATCAGCGAGGCACCACAATGTTTCTTTCACTCAAGGATCTCCCCAAATGTCAGCGTGAACAGGTCTTCTCTCTGGGGCCATGTAGTCATTCCAGAGAGGCCTCCCTCAAGCTCTTTCTTAGAAAGTGTACAAGAGGTTACAACATTCTCAGAACCAAGTGGGATTAAGAGGATCTCATCTATCAGTATGTAGGCTTTCATTTCATCCCTGTTTTCAGTTCAGTACCTCTCCATTGTCGTCTTCTACTGGGGCTGGTGTCCCCAAGTTTAGAGCCACCCTAATTAAATATTCCCATAATATGAAAGGTATCTCACTACTTCTTAAGCAGACTTTTAAGTCTCTTTGTTGTCACCCTCATGCTACATCCCCAACTTCTAAAGTATCTTTCTAGAGTTTTGAGACACAAATTGGCTGCTGTCATTGGAATTCTCCTCTGTAAATGTTTGATAGTCAGATTTTTAAGCTTTACTAATTCCTCCATCCCTTCCAACTTCCAAAAATCATCCAACGGCAATTGTCTGCCCTCCTAATCTTTTAGTCCTTGTAGGTTTATTCCTTCTTTATTTTAATTCATTTACTCTCATTTTAGAAGAATTTCAGAAGGGTGCAAATGTGTGTTAAATCCAACTTGTTTAACTGGAAGTTCTATCCTTATAAATTTCAAGCAAGGTAAACAATAAAATTATAATGACATTCATTTGTAATTATATATTTGATATAAAGATATGATACTTTGTGAGGTAAACCATTTTCTTAGTGATGCTAAAGGCATATAAATAAAACTGTTCTCCTAAATATAAGAGTTGCTTTGGATAATCAAAGAAAAAAAGATTTTGTAAAAGAGGTATCCTAACGATATGTACTTTATCCTATAATCCTAATAAGAATTGTTAAAACTTATATTACTTATATTATTACCTTCCTTCAAAAAAATGTAAAATGCAAAGAACAGATATATAATTGTACATCTTAGTTCTATATTTGATATATTATATCAAATAGAAATGCCTTTACCATTAGCTAGCCAGCAAATACTTAAGAATATAAACAATTATTATGAACAATCCCAGCAAAAGATTGAACATGTATGAATCATAAGAGGAAACAAATATTAAGCCAATAAAATTAATTTTCACAACAGAAAATCTAACTCAAGTTGACAAAAACAAGTCAATCAGAGCAATTAAAAGGAATATTTTCCGTTAGTCAATTTTTTTCATTAAGCATAAAGAAAATAATGCAACTCCAGCTGGAGAATCTAGGCTCTACTTTCGGTAGTATTTATTCATATGTTGTAACTTATATTTGAAAAATATTGAAATTAATCCAGAGCTCATTTACCCGCAATGTGTAAGGTATTCTTCAAAGACCACAGGTGCAATTCAGTCAAGCAGAAAGACATCTGATGGCAGAAGGAATCTCTGTCCTGTTTTAAAAATAATTAAAAAGAGGTGCCAATTAATTATCTTCTATTGCCAATAAAACCAAGATCCCTTAGATATAACAGAATCATTTGCCGCTACTGATATTTGAGATATGGTTCATTAGAATAAACACCCTTTAATATTGCCTTGGTTAACCATCCAGAAATAAATGCTAGAAAAAGGACAAATACACTTCTGAGATTTGGTATTGTTATCACATTGAGAAATGTAATAAGAATATACATGAGTTTTCAAAAACATATGTCTGTTTTTTAAAGGTCTGAGTATATTTAGAACTATTTAATATTTAAGCATTTTTAAAAACATTTTTAAGGAAAGGAAACATCTGTTGAGTAGTTATTAAGTACAAACACATTTTGTGGTGTTTTTTATATACAAAGCAAATATTTATGATTTCTCACATACAAATAGGCTAATTAAAGCAAAATTTTCTAGGTAAATAGTATATATTACTATTATAATAAATACATGTACTTAGAAGTAAACTGTGTGAAACCATATTAGCTTTCAAATTAGTTTGTTAATCTGCACATTGTGATAGACCCAGATATTCTACTCTGATTGCATTTGAAAAAAAAAAGTACATACTGTATTTCCTCCCAGCTTTACTAGTAGGGGTTAGTGATGGACATTATTGATACTTCAATTGGTAACCAAGTAGAACCTAATTGGTTTGGACTGACTGGGAGAAGATCAATGTCAATCAGAAAAAAAGTCGACATTTTACAAATATTTGAAAAGCATTTATGTAACTTTCAAATGTTTGCTAGTAAATATATATAGTATCACACTATATGTATACTTTACTGTATATTAGAAATATGTACAGTAAACTACCAACATTTTCTGGAGATCATAAAAGAATTGCTCTTTCCAACAAACTTCTGAATAACAAAAGAAGCTTTAAATATATCTTAAGTTATCTTTTAGATGGAGGAATAAGCCCTCAGCTTCTTTAACATCAGGAGTGACGAAAAATATTAGCCATACTACTCTTATGGGTGATAATCTAAAATAATTTTAGACATAGTACAAAATTCTTTGGCCCTTTCTTCACCTTTATATTTGAACCCCAATGTACTTAACAATCATCAAGAAACAGATGTATGTTCAACTAAGAAGACACAATGTACTATTAAAATGGCAGAGTGAACAATGTGGCAGCATAAAAGAAAGGCCCAAGCCTGCCTGAAACAGTGGGTCTCTAAAAAAAGTTACAGAGAAGTTGTGAAATGTTAGCGGGACCTCAAAGAAATATAGGATTTCACCAGTTAAATGAAGAAGATGAAAATGATGATGATGATAACAACAGACAATACAAAGTACTTACCTCATTACAAGCATTGTTCTAAACATTTTACATGTATTAACTCATTTAATCCTCGTAGCTACTCTTTGTAGTAGTACCATCATTACTGCAATAATGAGGAAAACAAGGCACAGGGAGGTCACATAGCCAGCAGGTAGTGGAGGCAGGCTTTGAATCTAAGCAGACTGGCTCCAGAGTCTGCGCTTGCAACCACAGTGCTCCACTGTATTTGGCTATCCAGAGGTTTGGGAAAGCAAGTACATAATAGTTTGAGTGAGTGAGTGAGTGAGTGAGTGAGTGAGTGAGTGAGTGAGTGAGTAAGTAAGTAAGTGAGTGAGTGAAGGAAGGAAGGAAGGAAGGAAGGAAGGAAGGAAGGAAGGAAGGAAGGAAGGAAGGAAGGAAGGAAGGAAGGAAGTCCAGGGATGGTGGTAAGATCGAGATACATGGCAGAAAGCGACATTATTAAGTTGAAAGAGGGAGAAAAGAAACAGGCTATAATAACAATAGCAAATTTTAGATTGATCTGAATTCATTTTTCCTTGTACTAAAGCACCTCAAAAGGTTAGAGATGAAACAAAGGATCCTTCAAACCCTTGATCTGCCCTACTCTAACCAAAAGCTGGCTGCACATTGTGGCATACACAGGTAGGAGAGCTGTGGACTGTATTACTATGAAAGAGGATGCAGTTCTTTATCAGGTGGAAGCAAGGAAAAAGAGATATTAAGCAAATTATGATTTTTCGATTCAATTGAGTATTATCTTTCAGAGTTGTTCCCTGAGGAGTGACTCTAGTGAGGCTGCTGTTATTCAGAATATTTCCAAAGCTCTGTTCTTTGAAAATGTTTTCAGTTAGCTTTATGAGGCTTATTTCAGAATTTTTACTTTATAGTTATACTTTTAAAAACTAAAATATTTACAGTATTAGATTATATAAACTGCACCTTTCTCATTTGGATAGGTAAGGTCTGGAATGTTTGTTTAAAGAATTAGTTAATGAATTAAGTAAATATTTATTTTGCACTGATTAAGCTTATTGTGTGGACTGCAGACTCTTAAGTCCTTATGCTAACTTCTCAGCTTACTAGCTAACTTGGACAAATTACTTAACTTCTCTACTTCTAAGTTACTCCAGCTATAAAACGGGTATAATAAAGGTCCTACTTCAGGACTGTATTTTTTTTTTTTTTTTTGCCTTTCAATATCACATTGGAACATTGTTTAATTTTTTTTATTAAGTTTATTGATGTAACATTGGTTAATACAATTATATAATTTTCAGATGTACATTATAATTTGACATCTGTATATTCTATAGTGTGTTTACCACCCAAAGTCCAGTTTCCTTCAGCTACCATATATTCGATCCCTTTACTCACTTCACCCTCTCCCTAACGCCCTACATTTGACCCCCTTTACCCTGTCTACCTTCCCTCTCAGGACTGTATTGAGGGTACCATTATTCAATTACCTTATTGTTGCCATTGTTGATGCTGCTGCTACTATTACTCAATATATCTAGCACTATGCAAATTTACATTAAAAAAAACAAAAAAGAAATATGATCTCTCGCTTTATATAGTTATTCAAGGTGAAATGAATGAATGGTTATTAAGCATAATATAGGGATTTTTAGAAAGGAAAAATATCTGTATGTGAAGTTTCTATATAAAAAAAGTATTTGAATTAGGACATACAAATGAGTTGTTAATATTTCACTGAGATAGGGAAGAAAAGATGTGATGAAACAGGTGCATATTTCCTCTGATATTGGGAAATGAAAGTCTCAACTTCTAGACTATACTAGAAAATAAAAATTCAAATTCCTCAAGGTAATGTTTATCCAAATACCAATATTTAGAATGTATGACAATTTGAGCAAAGACGAAGCTGAAGTTTAGCTGTTAGTAGCTACATAAAAAGGTTATCATGCAAAATTAAATATAGATAAAATTTTATAACTGAAACCAAAAAGGCAATACCTTACTTACATATCAAAAGAAGACTGCGCTTGAAATTTTATTTTTCAGTTTAAGTCAATTCAATAATAATTTGTCAACTTTCTCGATAACGAAAATGGAGAGTGGAGTATAATTTTCTTTGTAATCCACATTGGCTATTTCTAAGAGGCAAGAATGTTTTTAACTAGAAAAGCAATAGGTCCACTGCCCATATCTTTACTAAATTTTCAAGTCCTGAAATACTCAGAAATCACACAGTGTTGGGGAAGATAAGCAAAATGAGTTGTGTGGAGAGTTTCAAATGTCAAAGCAAAGCCCTTAACCCCCATGCATTTGAACATAAGAGGAAATTCTGAGAATAGTACAGTGTAGAGTCTATGATCTTGACTTGTCTTCCAACTCAGCACCAAAGGATTCATGTCTGGTTCTAATGGGGGTGGAAGGACTGAGAAAAATGTACAAGCTAGTTTTCTAAATGCTCTGATGTACATGCAATACTGCTCTAGTTTCCACTAAAAAGTAAAGGATAAAAGAGGGCGAATGACTTTGTACTTTATAAAGGACCCCTCTGTGGCCCCACAGGGAACAGGTGGTATAAGGATGGTAAAGTGACTGCAGCGGTGATGCCCAGTAGAAAGTAAGCAGAACTGGTAGCCCTTCAGATTAGTGTACTCACAGTGAGAGCAGTGGTATCCAGACAAAATGGGATCCACACCTAGCAAAAGTAGACATGGTGGCCAAGGAGTAATCCATACACCTGAAGAAATGGCAGCAATAATCAGTTGATAAAGCAGGCCTGCAAGCAGCAGGTAAGGCAAGTGAGAAAATGGCAATGTCCATTAGTAAATGATTGGATTTGTTTATAAACAATGTGACAACTCCTGTGGACTCCCCAAAATATGGGGAGAAGTTAAGGAGTTAAGGAGTAGTTAAGGAGAAGTCTTTGCAGGACACATGCATTATCAGGGGGCAAAAGATAGTCAAATGTGGATTATTCATCATTTTCCACAGAACTTCAAATATCTGCAAGTAATGCCATATAAAATTAAAGAGAATTAATGGAGTAAAACCAAATTTGTAAAAATCTATAATAACAACTAGATGGGCATGGTGGGAAGGGACGGAATCGATATCTTTTTAGTCCTCAAGATGTCTTCATCTCTACACCATGCAGTTTTTCTTAAAGATGCAGACATTTAAGTCTTGCATCTTAAGAATGTCAGCTTTTAAAAAGAATGCTGGTAATTTCCTAGTTTGAGAATCTGCCTGGAGGAAGTAGTCAAGACTGAACTTGTATTATTCAAATATTGTATTAGTGCATAAACAGTTGTTTTGAAAAGGGGAAGAAAAGAATTTCAGAAGAATGCTGGATTCTGACCTTTGTAAAAGGTCATAAAATAGGGAATGCCTAACGAAGTAAGTTGAGAAATGCTGCCCCACTCAGTGCCCTTGTGCATTTCTCTGGGGATAAAACCCAGTGCACATGACATAGAACTAGAATAAAAGTAGCAGCTAAATGGGGGTGGGGGGGTGGGAGGTGGATGAAAGAATGAATTAAAAATATCTCAAACTGTCTTAATATTGAACACTGAATAGGAAAAAGAATTATTCAAATGAAAACAATAGCAAAAGGAAGAACCCAAACAAAAAAAATGCCCCTAAATTTTCAATTATTTTAAAATATCTTTTTAACTTTTACAATTTTTCTGTTTA